GCCCTCCCCAGGAGCCCTGGACTGCTGTTCCCATCGTCCCCAGGCCCGGAGGTAACCCCGCTAGATCCACCGGTGTTTAAGCCACCGTTTTCTGCCCAGGATGATTCAGAGGGGCTGGGCAGTGGAGTAAGAGGCGTGGGGTCTGGCTGCTCTGCCCCCTTCCCGGGCTCACAACTCTTACTGTCCCCCCTCCCCAAACAGAGCATGTCCCCCAACCAGGTTGGCTCTTTCCTTTAATCCATTTCAACCTGTTTATGGAACCCCAGTTGAGTATATTGTGTTGGGGGGAGCAGTAGAACTGTGGCTCCCATTATATCCAGTCAGGAGTCTCCTCTAGTTGGGGCTTTAAGGGTGGGCTGCGGCCCCCATCATCCACAGCCAGCTGGGGCAGGGATTCTCTATTCCTCAGCCACATGGATGCGTTGGCCCATGATGGGCTCTGTAGTCTGCCGAGGCTTCTAGGCCTGTTCCTTTTCCCTCCCTGATCCCTTCTGTCTCACTTTTTTTTAAAGGTGGTGAGCCTTTGGGGTGGGGCCTGTCTGATTATTATTTTTGCAAGCTGTCTGGTGGCCTTTTTGGTTGAGGAGCCGGCGAAAAGGGCTTTAAGGAGACAAAGAGTCCTTAGCTTAAGTGCGCGTAACGAGCCTGAAGTCATCCACGTTTGGGAAATATCCAATAACGGTGTAACAAGGGACGTTCTTCAGCAGGGTGGCAAAGTTTTTATTACGGGTGGTGACGTACATGAAGCGTGTGTGAGAAAGGGTCTTGCCTCCCCACCCCATAATCTCATCGTAATTATTTAGCAGTATCACCCCCAAGATGCTACAGATGTCTGGATTACAATTCTGTTGCCCTCAGCCAGTTAGTGTGCCTATGGGGAAAGCATGTCATGGAAGATGTCACTACTTAGTTTCATGCATATTTTCCAGCCAGGACCAAACATCTCTTTGGCCCTGAAACGGAGCACATTTTTCCTAACGCAGACAGCACGTACCAGGCAACCTATTTTTTGCCTCCTGTGCTTCCCATGTTCACTCCCGCCAGCCCCAAGGAATGGTGGGAGCCATTGTTACGAGCATCTGGAGGGCGCCGAGGTGTTGACGCCTGGCATAAACTCTAGATTTGGGGGGACGATGACTGTCCCTGAGAAGTTTGTCTAATAGCGACGACTTCATGAAACGTGTTGAGATGAAATTGTTCTGCTCGCATCCTGATGTTGAAGAAAAGAGATATCCCCTCTGTTTTACAGGCAACAGAAGCGGGTCAAGGTGATTCTCTTGCTCTGTAATTAACGTCAGGTGGATTCCTGGCTCCTGTGTGGCTCCCCCCCTTTCCTTTTCTGCTTTTCTTTTTTTTCTCTTAATAGAAGTAGTTCACAAGAACGCTTCTTGGTCCTGAAATTATTGGCGAACCTGTATTTAATGAGGATTAGGAAGCCACCACAAACATGCTTTTGGTCTGGGACTCCTTGTGGCCTTATTCATTCCACTGCACATCCCAAGAAACATTTTAACCCATGGGGGGGGCTACAGAATATGGCTAGAAAGAGCTTTTCATCCAGGCTCGTCTGCCCCAGGGCCAGCAGGTGCTTTGAACTTCCTAGGCTTGTGTTGGTGATTGGGTCGGAGGCAGGGTGCCTGGCAGAGAGGCAAAATGCGTAGCTGAAAGGAAGTGTTTTTTGGGACGAAGAAGAGAGTCACTTGTTTTTCCGTTGCAAGGTTTAAATTGGGCACGGCTGACTTTTCAGCAGAGCTGTGTAGGAGAGGGGAGATTTTTTTTCCAGGATCCTGCAGAGCAGAGACTGAATCATTCCTGCATTCAACAGTGGGGAATTTTACCAAAGGGAATTGGGGGTTGTGGCTGTTAAGTGTAAAATGTGGAAGCAAGAGCTAAGGGGAGAGCTGTTGCAGTGCAGAGCAGAATTGCAGACTAGGATCCCACCCACCCTGAAATCGGGTAAAATCATTTGGGGACTTCCTATGAGTAGGTGCTTGGGCAGTTCTAATCTAAACATTTTTGATATTCTCATATTTTTTGGCAGGGCAGAATAGGTGTTGCTATGATCCTGCTCTGAAACACCTATAGAAATAGAATATTGTTAGACATCACTGTATATCAGCAATGGTTCTATTAATGCATCTTTGGTCAGTGGGAATATTTAAACTTTTTTAAAATCAAGACCTGCTTTTGTTCAGTAGATGGAAACTTCCCAGGTCACCCTATAAAAGATGATCTTTTGCTCAAAGGACATTTGACAGGCCACCAACCCTGCTCTCATTTCAGATTTTGTTAGTAGCTAGCTGAAGGGTATAAAAGTACTTGTGTGCACAAGCCAATATGGGTAACTTTAAAAAAAATGCTTTTGATTTCATCTTTTTGCAAAAGTTTTTGTTTGTTTGGCAGTTCTTAAATCTGTAAATCATGAAATGCCTTAACAAGAAACTCTACTGCAGAACATCACTTTGCTGGTTCCTTTTAAAGTAATTTGAATTAAGTTGATGTGTTTGGACAGTAGCTCTTCTGGCAGATGGAATTTTTTTATCTTGGCAAACGTGTCTAAGAGTCCCTATTGGAAACAGCATCTCATCGCTTCCATCCTGCTACTCCCAAGTTCTTCCCCAGACCAGTTATAAAAATCACCTGATTCAGGGCAGGTAATAAGAAAGGCCTGTTTGTCTCACAGCTTCTGCACTTTGGCCAGTTTTACTCCAGGCTGTCTCACGGGAATTTTTATACAAGCCTGTTTCTCCTCACCACAGGGGTTATATTTTTAAGAACTCTTGCATATTCAGAATCAATCATATGGCGTTATTCCTGAAATCTTCCAGCTAAGTAAATTGGTTGGTTATATTATGTTTGCATTAAATGGAGGGGTGAAAAGCTCTTTGAGCAGTGTTAAAGATTTGTATTTGTGTGTGATGACAGGCATAGATTTTTTTAAAAATTAGATTGCATCTAATTTCTGGCTGGTACATAAACATTTTTTTTTTAAACAAAACCCCCTATGTGTTGGAAGTTCCTTCTCTTATCCATTCTTTGTCCTTGGGAATAGACTCTGCTATCCTTTTTTTTTTTTTTTAAGCATACATACCCTTTTGGTTAAAAATAGTTTTTGAGAGTAGATATAAATGGAGAAAAAATCATTATGTGGAAAGTTGGAGAACCGTGCATTTTTTGCGTATGGCATGAAGACGCGTCTTTTCAAATAGCTCCTTTCACCCATGAGGACTAGAAGTTTTTAAAAAAACCAACAGCCGACTGAAGCGAAGATGATCAGAATACAAGACTGTACACCAGTTATCACATGTTTGAAAAATCTGGGTGCTTAAAATAAGGTCTGGCCCTGGAGATGTTCCCAGTCTCCATAAGAAGGTAGTTCTATTCCCATTTACATTGGAGCGAGGGATGTTTTGGAAAAGACTGAATGGATCTTGTGTTTGCAGGGCTGGTAGTTAAAGATGAGATACTGGTAGCTAGGAGTTGCTACTTGGCTTCCTATTAGAGCATTAGAAATTAGTGCCCTTGACTGTAAGAAAGGCAGTGTTAGTACTGTAGTTACTTCATTTATTCTCTGCTTTTCTGCTTACAAGTCACTCAAGGGAACAGCATAGTGTTTAAGTTACACTGGGATAAAAAGGCCCAGGTTTAAGTTGCTCCTGAACTGTAGACCTCATCAAGTGACTTTGGGCCAGTTGGTGTCTTTCAGACAGCCTACCTGACAGGATTGTTGTGAAGACAGTCCCTACCTGCGTCACCTTGAGCTTCTGAAGTAAAGGTAGCACACAAATGCCGTCAGTCAATAATCTAGATAGTCCAAGGCTGAGTGGCGTTTTTGCATCGATAAAAGATAGAGCTCTGCAGCCGTAGTTCTGAGTCAGCTAAACAGGTGCGCAGGTGTGTAAGCAAGGCAAGGTCTCTGGATTACAACTTTTTGAAATCTGGACTCGTCTCCGAGGCCTGTTCTCTGCTTAATGCCGTTTGTTCAATTTCCTCTTCATGGTGCCTGGTTTTTTTTCCCTTTTTGCTTTTACTTTCAAAATCTATTGTGGCTTTTAATTCCTTGCACACTGTGGGATGCTTCCTGGAGGAGTTAAAATAGCACTTTTAATTCCGTGCAGCTAGTACACCAGCACCACACATCCTCCTCTGCCTTTGTGCGTGTGTTCCTTGCAAGTTGTGGAATGAATCGGTTGGTTGTTGTGGAAAAGAAGGTGGTGGAACGAGGAAGATAAAACTTTTGTTTAGGCCCAAGCTGATTATCTGCAAGAACAGAGCAGAGGCTAACCTGAAGTTCGAATGAAAAGCTGGTGCTTTAATAAATGGCATTTATTAATTCTTCAGCAGTGGGACATTTTCATTCTTGCAAGCTCATAAACAAACGGATCCTTTTATGCCATATCTGTGCATCGCTTTCCAAGCGTCACCCGAAAGTCTAGAAACATTTAAAGTCAAGGTTGCCTTAATTTCAATACAGGCAAACTTTTGAAAAACCCTCTCGAGGAATTAGATGTTTTTCAACTCCATGGTCCGCCCTGCCCTGGAAGGCTCTTTGCAAAGCCCTGAATGCGTTTGGAGCCTGTTGACTTGAAATCCCCTTGCAGCGAGAGTTCTGGATTGTGTGGGTCTAAGGAGACGCTGTCACGTGCAGCCTGCTCGGACCCACATGCTGGCTCTCTCTGCCCCCTCGCTGTGGGACAGCCTTCTCCGCTGGATAACTGCACGGAGGAAGTACGATAAGGCCACTGTTTCGGCATGTAAAATGCACTGCAGAGCTTAGATCGTTTTCTTTCCCAGCCTTCTCGTGACCGGGAAAGGGAGACGCCAGGGCTCAGCAGCGGGTGCCACCCTTGGGCTGAATACCAAGTAGGTTCACCTGGTGTGCTTCCCGCTCAGTCCAGTCTGCACCAACTTACTAGGCCTAAGCCCTTTTGCCTTGAGCTTAGTGTGCAGCTAGGTTCTGCTGCATTGAAATCAAGAAGTTGGGGGGAAGGGGACTCAGCGCCTTGTATTTCCCCGAGCCTCTCCCAGCGGGATGTTTCCCATACGGCACCCAAATCGAGAAACAGAAACATTTTCTCAGAGCTGGGTGCCTGGCAGTGAAGCTGCACAGTCTTGAACAATTGATTCATTCAATAACGGCTACATGGAGGCCATCCGTGACCTCTTTTCCCTTGGCAAGACACTCCCCTTCTCTTTTTAGATAGCAAGCAGGAGATACTACGGGCTTGGGTAAATAGGGTGAAGTCGCCTCCTTCCTGGATCAGAGGTACTTGGAGGTGACTCTCCATGGACCATCCCCGTTCCATTCCAGCTCTTAGGTTGGACAGACTGTCTCTTTGTCCCTTTTCTTTTTGACTGGCCTGCATGCTGTTGACTGGGGCCTCTTTGGGTAAATGGATTGCCTTAGCGCCTGCCTCTTTGGGAACATGTAACGTTCATCATGATAGTTCTTCCAGAAATGGGTGGCCTTGATTCCTCTCACCCCCATCTCCAAAACTTGGAGTCTTGGTGAAGAGCTCACTGGATGCATTTTTAACGTCGTGAAGAACTTGCAGTGCCCATCTTCAGAGGCTCTTAAGGCTGGATAGAGGGGAGGAATCTGCTTTTCCTGGTGACTGCTAAAGGGTAGAAGTTGTGGCTCGCTTGGGAATTTCAGATGCATTTTGTTGGAAATCCCAGAGGTCCCTCAAGGTTATGCCACCATGAACAAAGCCCTCATATCTAGAAAAGGTTCACGGGAAGGCAGATTTGTAGCTCTGGAGGAAGCCCGGGCTTGGCCCACACCTTCTCTCGTCGTCCAGCAGATGTCCAGTTGATGGCGATGCGGGAAGAAAAACCTTTGTGCTGTTGGCAGCCATCTTCCCTTCTTTCCCCCAGAAATGGCGTGAATGTGGAAGGAGCCACCCACAAGCAGGTGGTGGACCTGATCCGGGCCGGCGAGAAGGAGCTGATCCTGACCGTGTTATCGGTGCCGCCTCACGAGGCCGACAACCTGGACCCTGGTGACGACTCCCTGGGCCAGTCCTTCTACGACTACACGGAGAAGCAGGCCGTGCCCATTTCCATCCCCACCTACAAGCATGTGGAACAGAATGGTGAGAAGTTTGTGGTGAGTACCAGCCTGGCTGTGGTTATCCTCCTCTTGCCCTACCTGTCTGACTTCCTGAGGAGGCCCCCAAAGCCTCCGCATGCTTTTCAGCTTGGCCTCTCTTTCTTCCCCGTGTTCGTCCTTGCTGCCGACTCTCTTCCCCATCAGAGTTGTCTTTGGCCCGTGCAGTGGTGGCTGGGTTAGGGTTTTCTTCATACTACCCTAGGATGAAAACGTGAAAGGGGGAGGCTCCCCCCTTCTCCAGCTTTCGTGCAAGGAGCTCCCTTTCCTGTTCACCTCTTCCAATAAGTTCAGGGAGTTCAAGAGAGCGTGTGCCCTTTGCTCGGGTGTAGGGCTGGAGGAAGATTCCTGCTGGGTCTTCACGGCCTCTTCTGCCCCAGAGAGACAGAATTACCTCTCTCCCTCTGGGGACTCTCTGGGGAAGGCAGAGAAAGAGAAGCCGCTTGCGTGATGCCTGTTAGAGAAGGGATGCTCACGGCTAAGTTCACATGTTCTTTCCCTTTTTTTAAACAACCTCCTGCTGAGAGTCTGTCGTGCTATGGGACTGGCACGGTCCACCTGCATTGTCCCCATTTTCTCTCCTTTCCTTCCACCGGTTTTGAGAGGCACCTTGTCCTCCAGGCCCTTTCTAGTTCCTGCTTGGTCTTTGCTTCCCTCTTCAACTGGGGCAGGAAGAAGGTCCCCCGGCATTTCTTCTCTTTCCCTTCTGACAGCTGGCTTGGACACACCAGAGGAGTCGGCTGTCCTCCTCTACATCTTCCTGGTGCCTTGGATCAGTGTTTCTCAACCTTGGCCACCTTAAGATATGTGGACTCAGGCTGGCTGGGGAATTCTGGGCGTTGAAGTCCACATATCTTAAAGTGGCCAAGGTTGAGAAACACTGCCTTGGATTGTTCTAGGAAGTGGAAGATGAAGGCTTAGCCCCAAAGCGTGCCCCACCTTGTAAAGAAAAGCAACTAAATTTTGGGGAGGGAGCAGAGTTTCAGAACTAGCATCAGCCCAGTGCAGTAACCAGCTTTAAGCAGGGCTGCGTTACAGCAAGCAAGGGGGAAAAGCGAAATAGCCCTCCTCAGGTGGAAAGAGAGTGGGAGCTAGACAAGTTCAGTTACTCTGCAGACTGAGTGTCGCCACGGAAAGGACTTCGGCTTAGCTTGCCTCTCACTGCACCCGACCAGAGAGGAGTAAAACGCTCCCTGGCCCTCTTGACCGAGGGGAAGGAGCACAAACGCGTTTGAAGCCGTTCTGACTTCCCCTTTGGCCCATGACCAAGACAGAGTAAACAAACCTAACGCAGCACGGAGCAACTTTGCATTATTTGCACGGCTGCTGCAAGGGAGACGGGTTCTGCCGATCCTGTTGGGCAGAAAAGCAGCAGCTGGATAGTTCCGCCCTCTGGAAAGCCTCCAAAATCTGGGTCTTGCCAGCCCACAGAAGAACTTGATGTGGCTTTTCCTCCCCCCCCACTCCCCCCCCCCACAATCTCCTTCCTAGGTTTATAACGTTTACATGGCAGGCCGACAGCTGTGTTCGAAACGGTACCGTGAATTTGCCATCTTGCATCAGAACCTGAAGCGGGAGTTCGCCAATTTCACCTTCCCCCGCTTGCCGGGCAAATGGCCGTTCTCGTTGTCGGAGCAGCAGTTGGATGCCAGGAGACGGGGCCTAGAGGAATACCTGGAAAAGGGTACGCGGTTGGGCTTTTCTGTGGAAGGGAAGAGGGGGGGCTGCTGGTTCAAATGCCCGGGGGGCCATGCCCTGGGAGAAGAGCTGCGTGGCGGGAGGGAGGGAGGAAAACTTCGGAGGGTGCTTGCATTTGAAAGCAAAGATTGCAATTAGACCAGTAAGTCTGATCTCATAGTCAGATGGCCGTGCGGTTTATTTGCGCAGTGAACGAGAACTTGCACAATTCTGTGGCTGGGTTCTTGTGTCCTGTGCAGCCAAATGTGACTTCCCTGGCTTCAGCTTCCTCTGTTGCAGAAAGCCAGCCCCGTGGTTTGTTTATGGTTCAAGCAGGATGAACCATAAACACGGATGAACCCAAATACGGATGAACGTTTCTTCTCTCTCAACGTCATCCTGTTGGGAAGTTTCATTGGAAAGGGACCGCCCTGCTTACGTGGGGCATTTGGTTCCTTGCTGTTCCTCTCCTGGAAGTGTGGAAGAAGTCCCAGAATGGAGACCTCTTACCCTTTAGCCCTCACTCCCACCCCCCCACGCCCCCCCCTCCAATCACAGCTCTGGTTTCTTGCCCCTGCAGTGTGCTCCATCCGGGTGATCGGGGAGAGTGATGTCATGCAAGAATTCTTGTCGGAATCGGATGAGGTAGGCTGGCAGAGTTTGGGTTCTCCCGGGCGGTGGGCTTGGCGAGGCTGGGTCCTTGGGGCGAGTAAGACTGTCGGTCTGACCCCATCTGGGTGACCAAAAAGTTTTCCCTCCAACCCCAAGAGGAAATAGCCATCCTCAGTGGTTCACCTGGGCTGTTCCTTCCCAGAATTTCAACGGGGTGTCGGATGTAGAACTCCGAGTGGCCCTGCCAGATATCACAACCGTGACTGTCCGGGTTAAAAAGAACAGTACCACCGATCAAGTCTACCAGGTAGGAGGAGTTCCTCCAGGGGTGGGCTGCTTCTCAGGGAAGAGGGGCTTGAGAGAAATCGGGGGTGCAGGAGGGGGCTTGCTCTTCAGATGCTCAGGGGAGGAGGAAGCCAATAGCAGAAGGTTTGGCCGCTGGGTGCCTCTGCATTCGCTGGTCTTCCAATAGGTAGAGCAATGTTTCTCAAGCTTGGCCACTTTAAGATGGGTGGACTTCAACTCCCAGAATTCCCCAGCTAGTGGGTTTCTTGTCTCACCTCTGCAATTGTGTAACTTGTGAATGAAGTGGGATAGAGGCAAAGTGTTGGGTATGCTCTCTGGTTAAATACAGACCCCTCACATGAACAGTAACTTCCAGGAAGTATCTTAAAGTATCTTTCACTAGAGAGGAAAGTTCCAGTTTTTAAAATGCATCTTCCTTCCTTCCTTCCTTCCTTCCTTCCTTCCTTCCTTCCTTCCTTCCTTCCTTCCTTCCTTCCTTCCTTCCT